ATAAGAGGGAGGCAAGCTAAAAAAAAGAAGGGATATAAATGGGAAGAGACATAAGGAGAAATCGGTCAGAAGAGGTGAAGATAAAACAGGGCAGACATGGAACAAATATGAGGTGAAAGGAATGCAGGGAGTGGGAAGAAGCAGAGGGGAGAGAGATGGAGCTGCAGTGAAAGAGAACAGGGCAGACAAAATCCTCCAGAAGTGCAAAGAGTTCTCCTAGCACCTAACAGTCCCTATTTCAGCAGCTCTGGTAGCTGTTCCTCTCTGTGGTTCAGAGAAAGCACCATTTGTGTCCTAACATCTTCTGTGCAAAAGGGGCTCCCTGCACAGTGCCAGTGCCAGGCTGAGGGAAGGGGGAGGGATGGGCACTGGCCAGAGCCCATCTACTTCCCCATCTTCTCATACAGCCAGCTCTGCCCAAGCTGCTTCTGCAGCTGCTCCTGCCAGCTACAGCGCTCAGCCACAACGGCAACCACAAGCCCAAACTTCTTTTCTTGCTAGTTGGTTCACCACTTGTATCTCACACAACAGGCCTGTCGTGAACATACTGTGAACACAACAGGCCTGTTGTGAACATACTGTGAACACACTGATTGCTCCTGCTTCTATTCCTCATCTAGACCATTTCACTTGATGGTTAAGATGAGCAGAAATATATGCAACAGATGAGTGAGGAAGAGAGAAAAGAAAAGAAAAGATGCTCATCTTCCTGGCTCATCACCTACACAGCCTTTTAGGCAGGAGTACTGACAAACACACAATCCCCCTAAAAGCTGTTCCTATTAAATCCAATTGAATTTGAGGGAATGGTTTCTATGGCTATTATTTTTTGTGAAAGCATTCACAAAACCAAAAATTTCACAAAACCAAAAATTTCCAAAATTTCCAATTCACACTCTACCAGAGGGTTATGTCACACCCATTTCCTGCAGGCAAAGGACACAGATATACAGCACATCATGGTTTATGATCGCTGGAAGTACAAGATAGAGGCACTGCCACTTACCCCATATCCCTGTCCCCCATGGGAGGTCAGTGGAGTTCAAGGGGATGGACGTACAACGATTTCTCATGGTATCTTGCCAATCCTCTGCCCCTGGGTCTATTATGATTAATGTTGATCCACCACCTGGAGGCTGTGTTGGCTGTTCTTACTGTTTTTCATGGCGCGTAACCATAGTAAGAATGTGTAACGGATCTCCACCCACATTTCTGAAGAGTTGTGGGACTGCTGGAAAGATGAGGTGAAGTTAAACTGGGCCCCACACTGCACCATGTAACTGTGTCCCCTGTGGACCAGAGAGTGCTCTGCTGAAGGGCTTGTAGCAAAGAGTTCCTCTCCCTTGCTGGTATATTAGAAGCTGCAGGAAGAAAGGAGAAGAAAGCTGCTGAAGAAAGGAGTTAACAGCAGGGTCACTTCTCAACAGGAGGAAGGAAAGAGGAGAAGGTTCTTTTCTGCTCCTATAATACTCCGAGTCCTCATCAGTAGCAAGTTTTCATGACCCATCCAAAGGCACGCTATAGCTCATTGCCTCTAAAAGGGTGACCTTCAGACAAGAATATCAAAGTTACGGCAGCAAGTTTCTAAAATATTTCAAACAGTTTCGTGCAAGTCATCATTAAAATGGCCATTCATGGGTAAGAACAAAACCCTGAAAAAAGGTTAGCCCTCAAATGCTTTGGAAAGCCACGTGCCTGTGTTAAATAAAACCATTACAAAACAAGCTGCAAACTATTTCCAGCATCCAGAGCCAGAGATCATATAAAACCATCAGAATAGATTTGTACTGTCAAGTTTCTACTAAAATAAAGTCATGCTTGGTTAACACTGATACACTACATACTATATGTAGGTAAATCAATATTATCATTACACCCCCGAGTGCAATACTCAAGAAAGGTTTGGTAATCAAAGTAGAGACTGCATTTAACAGAATATCAGAAATATTTATGACATCTTTAAACACTTGCAAGCCTAAAAGCTAGAGCACTGATAATTCAAAGTACAAAAGCAGAGTTTTGACAGTGCTCTATAGAAAGAGAACTGTCTTTCTTTTTGCTTTTGGCACACCACCATCGGATTCCCTGCATGAAATCCAGCCCTACACTCAATATACAGACCATGTACAACATACACATGCACCCGCAGGCACCTAAACCTTCAGTTGCTGCAAACTACCATAGCTTTCTTGACTTCTGAACTTCAACAGCTGTATGCAGCAATTGAGGATCTGTCCCAGGGAGCATATTCCATCAGAAACAGAAATATGCCAGTTTTTAACATAGCTTTTGACAGATTAACAAGGTTGTGTTGTTTTTGAAATGAATACCATTCAGTTCATGACTTGTCTTCAGCATTTCTACACAGTGACAACCTCTTGTGTTCATCTGCAAGGTGTTCAGGCCAATGCCAACATACATTTTGCCACATCACTGGTGTTCAGGGCTTATAAATTATTACATTTCATTCACTAAACTAAGGCCTAGAAACTCTGTTGAGATTTTTAACTTCAATGCATAGAAACACATATTATGGGCTGGAGTTGAAATTATGTGGCTATGACCTAGGAGGAGGACCTTACTTCATAATAAATACTATCAACTCTTATACTTTTCTCTCCCTCTAGCTTTCTCAGACAGATACTTTACTTTCTTGCTAACGCTTCTGCAAATATGATGAGTAAGCTCTGACTGGAGAATAGAGTTTGCTTGTCTGTTTTTGTTCAGTCATTAAAGTGGGTAGGTTGGTAGGATTAGGTTTATTAAAGTTTACGCAACAAAACTGTAATAACAGAGTCTCGTGAGTTTGGGGTTTGTTTTTTTTGTTTTTTTTGGTTTTTTTTACAAAACTGGTTCATAAGAAGACTGACCTACTCATCTGCTCATTCTCAAGGAATGTAAACTCCTTAATTCATTGCGTGTTTAATTGGAAAACCTATGTCCCTGTGATGTATCCAGAATCCTACCACCTAGAGAAGCATTGCAATTTGATGACACATTAAACAATGTCATCAGTAGCAGAAACTTCTAGGTATAAACACTGACAATTTTTCTAAGCGATAGTCGAATGCTCATTGAAGAAACTGCTGTGAGAGGGTCCCCTCTGCAGCTGTTTGGTGCCATCCCTCTGAAAGAGAGAGCTGTCCCACAGCAGAGCTCCATTTCACTCCTATTGCAAAGACTAACAGGTGAATTTAACCCAATAAAAGCTCCTTCCTTTAAGCTGGGTGACGTTGCCCTGAAACAGATTCTCGCGTCTCTGTCCTAATGGCTCTGTGAGAGCAATAGTATCCGAAAGAAAACTGGTAACAAGCAACAGAAAAGAAAGAACATCTGAAACTAGGGTTGCTGTTTTTACAGTGGGCACCTACCACATCCTAAAACACAAAACACATCGTTCACAGATGAAATCTTCAGGCAAAACCAATCTTTGCCTGCCAATGCTGTTCCTTTTAAAGAGATAAAACAAAAAGTAATTGCAATGAAAAGCTACTCCTCCTTTACCTAAATAAAAACTGGGGGAAAAGGGCTCATATAATATAATTTAGAGAAAGACATGATTCTAGCAATACATACCTTGGCGATAATGGACGGCCTCTGGAATTAACGTTCCGGAAGTTATTAACAACCAGTGGGCCTATCCTCTTGCGGTATTTGAAGTTAAGGAAAAAGACAGTAAATTTCAACAGTTAAATCTGAATTACAGTTCTCTTACAGTCCTGAATGGGAACTTGATAATATAGTTTGGCCACAGCCAATTTTTTGCCTTGGTTTGTTTTTCTTCCCTGTGAGACTCTGAAAGCTTTTTTAATTTAAGGCAGTTTTATGTTTTTCAAATTTTAATTTTCTGTATGATTGCCCAAAACACTGAGCATTCTGCTCATACACACAAATTTCAAATTCAGTTTCCAAGACTTTCTGCCGGAAAATGCCAATTACCTCTAAAAATTCCTTTTCATTGGAAAAATTCAGTTCTGAGCATCTTATCTTTTCTCAGGACGGATCTCCATTTCAAACCTGCGGTAACTTGTCACCTTTTATTCCAAATCTAGGAATACGTAGTAGAGATGTTTTTCCAGTTAGCCAGATCTCAAAATAAAGAGGAGGAAACACTTCCATGGAGTTTGCATGTAAGTTCCCCCTCTAACTGCTGATGAAAGTCACCTGCTTATGACTGCAGCGTTGGACTATGCAGGAAAAAAGGTTTGAAAGAGTGGCGACAATCAATATAGAAGACAAATCCTTTCAAAGAGTTGATGACTTCTGTTTAGCTCTGCCGGTTCCTTATTGTCAACAAATTTCAAAACAAACACGAACTGTGCCATTCAATACTGGTGTAATTGACTGCGTAATAATCCCCTTGCCTTTCTTCTTTTAGTATTAGTCCTACTGAAAACTGTATTAGGTAACTCCTGTTCAAACTAGGCATACAAACCGACGCTGCCTAACATGGACGAGCAAAGTTATCCCTGATTTCAAATGGGAGTCTGCAAAAGCACGCAAGATCAGTCCAACAAAATCAGTCACTGGACAAGATTCCCCATTCTAGTCTGCAGATGTCCCTTAGCTGTGACCTCCCTCTTCCCTGCTGCTCCAACCGTGGGCCTTTTCACACTAGAAAACAGCACTTAGGCCAAATTGTGAAGTAGTTTTACAAGGTGGAAAGGCACCAGCAAGGGGCTAAAGAAAGGCCAATAAACTTATCTAACCTGCACCAAAATAACAGGTTTAAACCGAAGTCAAATGAGGTGAAGGGCAAGTGCATTAATCGCCTGTATTAACAAGGCTCTGTGTGCCTGTGGCAGTACTCTGCGGAAAAGGCAGGATGTTTTGCTGTAAATAAGATAGACAATCAACAGCTACAACAACAAATCTTTCTCCAATTTCTTCTACTTTTCATTAAACAAGTAATCTGATTTTTATTAAGTACTCTTAGAAGTCCATACAGGTCTGCTTTTATAACTGTGCCTGTTTACGCAGTATATATACTCACACAAACATATCACAGCCTGATGAGCACTTGAAAAGGAACTTCAGCCAGTTTTGTTCTTAAGTGATAATCGAAGAAATCCTCCATCACGTGTTGCTGCAGTGTGAGTTGGCCTTACCAGGATGAAGAGTCATGCAGATGTTACCCAAATGCTTCCATTAACTTAATCTTCCTCAGAAGAGCCCTTCTGCTGCCAAGTACTTAAGAGTGTCACTTGGGATTTAGATGCCATTTTTGTTCACTACTGAAGACTGGTCATGTGTAGGAATCTGCACTCCTGATAATAGGGTTTACAGAACAGCATGAAAATAGATTACTGACTGCTAAAAACATTTGAAAAATACAGTGTTACTTTTTACTGGTTGTAAAGTGCTTTGTGGCATCTAAGTCTTAATAATCATTCCTGTATGTTTTCTGGAGTATAAGCTTAGAACAAAATAAAGATCATAACAACAATTAGCTGAGATGCTAACAACATGATACAGGAGTATAGATCACGAAATGTTTTCCTTTACATCATTTTTACACACAAAATTATATTTTGTGTTCACAAAATGCATCAGACTTTTTCAATTGTCCTAGCACATGCTGTTATCTCAGTAATGAAACCAGCCTTACTTTTCCACTTTTTTAGGTCAGGTGTTACGTGGGAAGATGTAGTAGTATGAAATAGCAGGAAATAGTATAAGTAAATTTAACTTTAAAAGTTTAGTATGTGTTTTAGAGAAAAGATTAACAAGTCCTATTTTTTTCAACTGTCTTTTTATCTTCATTTTTTTCATCTTGCATTTGCTTCAGCCAAGCAATTCCAACAGTTCAGAAGGACAGATGTTCCATTTCATTCTATTCCCAGACAAGTCACTCTGTAAAATTACATCTCTCTTGAAACGTTAGTACAACAGTTTAAAGACTATCAGAAGTTTTAAAGGAGAAATGCAGAGTGAGAAAATCAGCCCTTTGTGTTTGGATCTAGTATCTATACTGAATGTCTTTTAGTAGCAGGACCACTCACTAGAGAGAGAAATTTTTATAATTTCTTTTCCATCTTGTGGAATCTTCCATCAATGTAAGAACCACAAGCCTCCTTGCAGTCCATGTAGTATATGTGTGTTTGTGATATTCAAGAGCGATGTGTTTTGGGATATGCTCAGTGAACCAAGGCATACCAATACACTTCACAACGAGAACAAAATGATTTAAAAAACACTGCTAGGCTGACTGGTTAATCAAAGCCTAGCAATAAGGAAGAGCAAACAGCTACATTTCATATCGTCATCACCGCTATTCCCCTCCTGCTCATACACTTCTACAGCTAAGCAAGAGAGAGAGAAACCTTTGCTTAGTGCGCGCGCAAGAAACCCACATTGATTCTCCCTGGACAGGTAGGCAAAGGCAGAAGAAATAAATACAAAGTCCCAAGAAAGAAAAGTTAAAAGATTTAAAAGGGAACAGTTAATGAAGTGAGTGACTCTCATCCACAAACCACTCCATACGGGTGCATCTAAGTTACTGCTTCAGCTGGGATCAGAAGTGCATTTTTGAGGTGAACCTCCCAACTATCCCCATTCACTGCATTTTAGCTCACATCGCAGAGTGGTCTCAGAGCACACAGGCTTGCTTCCTTTTGGATGAGGCTAAACCAGAAGATATGTTCCTGGAGATCCCTAATTCACTCAATTAGATTATTGATGATCAGTCCACACAACTAGTCTAGCATTAGGCTGAAGTAAAACCCCCTGAAACGTGCATAGTATGGACATTAGGTCCAAGGCACCACTTGTTCCTTGCTACAAATCTATTGCTCTTGGTCTGCACTATTTGCTACTGTGGACGTAATAATCTGTTTTGCATCGGATGCAAGTCATATTACCCATATCCTATTAGGGCCTAAATTTCCAAGTTCTTCCTAGTGTACAAACACTGACACTTGCGTAAAATAGAGATATAATGTTATGATATTGATAATTTTTACATCCATCTTCTATGGTTTAAGTCAGAGCACACAAGTTTCAGGGAAATAAAGAATAAGGCCCAGTATCTGCAATCTTACTAATCACAGATAAGAAAATAATTGACTGTAACTCCTGTTGTTTATTAAATACATATTTGATTCTAGCATATAAAAAACAAATTTCAAATTAGGCTCTTAAAATCCTATATAATCCAATATAACGTCTTCTTAGGCCAGTTTTTTGGAGAAAACACGGACTCTTACTAATGCTGCCAGTCTGAATTTGTTTCTTAGCAAACCTCAAACCTGCAGCTACTTACAAAACACTTTGCAGTTCACATAACTCAGTGTTGCCTATACATAATACAGTGCTAAGCATACGTCACCATTTTGAGATCAAGACACATAATCAAGACCAAGAACTTCAGAAAAAAAGGCTAGTATGTTCTCTCGTTCTGTTACCAAGCTTCTCAGCATGAAATACTACTAGTGATAAGACAAGTTCAGGCCAAAAAATTCATCCTGAGCCTGCTCATGTAGCATCAGAGGGATTGTCTGCTTTATTCACCTATCCATACTGGATGCAGCTTTTCCAAGATATACTGAAGAGTTCGACTTCTGGCTTTTGAACTTGAAAGGCATCACTAGAGACAGTGACAAGGGACTTTAACATTTAACTTCAGCTTTTTTTTTTTTCCTCTAACCTTAGCTATCTAAGAGTGAATCAACTAAGATTCTTCTACAGTCAATGGAAAGAGATAGGAACCTGCAGGGTATCACTTTACATGAGATGAATCCCACTTTTAAGGGAGGACAGTAGATTGTGAAAATAACCAGGTGCAACAGTGGGAGAATTCCTGCCATTCTAATGTCACTAGGAATTTTACTATTGATTTCAGCAAGAGCTAATGAAAAGAGGTTTCAAGGCAGTTGTGGATATCTTTTAGTTATTTAGCGTTACTTACAGTAGCACTTTGTATTCTCTCCCTTTCTAGCACGAATTAAAGAAAAGAGAAGGGATGACCACATTTAAGCAGAGGAACAGAAAATGGTTATTGTGTTACCTCTTTGAAAATCAGGACAGCACTCAGTGAAAAGCGTATTGGGTTAATTACTTAGTAACTCCACAGAGGTCAATGGAATTGCAGCAGAGATGAATTTGGTCCAGTGCTGTAAACTAAGAAAACTGACCTAAATTCTGCCCCGAGGTACATGTGCTGAAGTAAGAATAGTTCTAAGCACTTATCAGAGAAGAAAAGCTAAGCTTACACTACATAGGATCAAGTCATGCTTGCCATGGTAACACAAACCTCTGATCAAATTCTGTGGACCTACTCTTCTAATTTGGAGAAGCAAGATTTGGATTTTTCTTTTTACAAGCACATATAAGAATGTGATCACATTAGGAAGATTTTCTGTCATCACTTTTCCTTCAATTACTAAACAGAATACACAGGGTAGGGAATATTATGAAATCACACTACTGGACTGTATCCCAAAACAAGGATTATATTAAATAAAAAGGAAAATACAAGCTTGTTTCACTACTGTAGTACTCAAGTATTACATAGATAATGTAACTCTAACAAAAGTAATCAAACGTGTCTGATTTACAAATGTACGCATGCCTGCTATGGGATGGAAGATCTTAGTTATATCCTTCCAGGAAAAATATGGAAACACACGCTCCCTAATAAAAGGAAAAACTGTTTTTATTATTAGATGACTAACCTTATTCTTCTAAATCCTCTACAACAATGGACTAAGATAACCTGTAGCTCCAAAAAACAGAAACAGTCCCTTTCTTCATTCATCTCAGTGAGTTAGAAATTCCTGTCTACAAAACCCATTGCTCAGCTAGAAAGCAAACTTTCAACTAATATTATCTTGTGCTAGTTGTGGCTAATGCCATACACTTGCATTGCAAAACTACTTCCTATTTCATTAAGTGTAAAAGAGTTTAAAAGAATTCAAAATCCTGGCAGGTATTATCAGGACTCTGTATAATTGCGATGTAAACTCATATCCTCATATAACTATGACCCTCCTGGTTATCTGGGTGCCCGTTTCTCCTTGCATTTAATGATATGCTGATGCTTACTCTGATGATGTGGTCCACAGTTCTCCTCAAAGTAATCCGTCAATATGCACAGAAAGAGGGTACAGACACGTATTTTCAGGCTGAGCTCTAGTATTGGAATGTGGAAAAATCTTAAGGGAAAAACTTCCTGCCTGATGACAGCAATTTATCGTCAAATATCATCTGCTTTTTAAATTTTCAGACACTAAAATACCACATACATTTTTACACTTTTACAAAGGAATACCCAGGAAGTTTCAGAAATAAATTGAGTTCTCAGGACCAAATTCTGCACTCTTTAAGTGCGAGTCAGCCTGAGGGAATGAGTGCAAAGTCACACTAATTGGTATCAAAGTCATTCAGTTCACTTCTGTTCTGGTACTAACTTCATCATTACACAGTATAGAGAATTGAACTAATTTCACAAATATATCACTTTCTCTGAATTTACACATGAAAAATTCAGCAGCCCAAAGTTAAATTCTACTTTACAAAAAGCATTTTCAGTACCTTATAAAGGCCCACACTTTAAAAAGAGGGTCTGATGCAAACATTGCCTCTCTACGTTCTGTTGCTCTTACGTGAGAATTGGTTTAACATTAACAATGTACGCAGCACAAAAACTCATATGGCCTGAACATTGCAAGGCTGCCAATTTAATTTGAAATGACTTGACAGAAAATCTCTAGGCCACCAAATGCTATTATAAAGCACTGTATTCTCATTAAAGGTCTGAGCCTTTTTTTCTCCCTGAGGGCAGACTCCTCGTGAGGCTGTCCCTCTGGCATAACATGTGATAGAGCTAATCTGTCTTCACTTGGACAGCACTGCGGATATGCAAACCCAGGTGGCACTAATAGGTTTACAGTAATAACTATGGAATTGGATACAGTATGTTACACTGTGAGAAATTCCCACAGATCAATTTTTGTGGTGAAGGTTAACCAACAGACACAGAGCCATAATACTCCTTTTTCATGGGTCTGCTAACAATTTTATGGTTTTAAAAATAAGAGAAGAGAGAATCTCCCATATTTGGACAGAATATACATACTTAACTTTTCAGACATATCTACAATATATATATGCATAAAAATGCTCTCTCAGAGCATTTTTAACTGGCAGCATAACTTCTGCTGCCAGTTATTCCAGTGTAAAACTGGAGGTATTCCATTGGCTTCAAAGAAGTATACCAATATAAATGAGAGCAGAATATGCCCCCAAAATGTATTTAACATATTATAAT